TCCTTACAGAAGACAATTAGATTTCTCTTCCTCTTCTCTGCCTCTCAGCTAAATTTTTTAAATGTGCACCAGTTTAAACCTACAGATATTCTCCAAACATTTTTCTCAGTCTGAATTTTCTCCATGCTTCTCTCAGTATTTATTCTGTGAGGTGATGGATTTATTCTGTAAATGACTCTTTATTAAATACATTTTGCCATCTTGTGAAAAGGGTCAAGATCAGGGAACCGTATTTTCAACAAATTGTTCAACTACAGAGTTTCCTGGGAATTTGTGCCAAAATGTTCAGTCCTGAGGCAGGCCGAAGAGGAAATAAAACATATAAGGCAGTTAATGGCCAACTTCCCACTGAGTTACTGAATCCTTGTGATGTATAGAAGAGTCCAGAGGTTGATGGAGCTTTATTTCTGGATTTCTCTGTGTCACCTCGAGTCTAATTGTTAGGCTTCCTTGAGGCAGATTTGAGGGAATGAAAACAGAATAAGTCAGTCAGCTGTAAAGCTTACATCCTCCCCTTCCAACCTTGGATAAATGGCATTTTAAATTAATATCATTCACACGAGTATATCCAACAAAAATATGTAGACCATCACATAGCATAACCAGTATTCACAGCATGAGGCTTTAAAATATATCTAAATTTATTTGGGTGCAATAATATTCTACACAATCAAATGTGGACTTTTGCAAATGTAGAGTTGGCTCAGGTCCTCTCAGTTTATAAAACTTAAATATAGTTGACCTACAGCGTTATATTAATTCCAGGTATGGTGTGTTCCATAGTGATTCAACAATGGTCTATGTTACACTCTGCTCACCAGGATAAGTGTAGCTATCATCTGTCACCATACAAGGTCATTACACTATTATTGACTATATTTCTTATGTTGTACTTTTCACCACCCCCTGACATATTTATTTTACAACCAGAAGTTTGTCCCTCTTAATTGCCTCATCTATTGCACTCACTGACAATCACCAGTTTGTTCTCTGTATTTAGGAGTCCGGTTTTGTTTGTTTGTTCATTCATTTGTTTTGGTATTCAGATTCCACACTTAAGTAAAATCATATGGTATTTGTCTTTCCCTGTCGGACTTACTTCACTTAGGAAAGTACCCTCTAGGTCCATCCATGTTGGATCAACTCCTTTCATGTGCTTTTCTTTTTTACCTTCTTACTTACCCATCACAATCATGGGTAACCAAACAACCCATTTACCCAGAATGTTGTGCAGATCATACCTCTACATAATTGTCTTCTATTTTAGTCTTCATCTTGGCAAGACATGGGAATGATAGCATCAGTAGCAGAGCAGTAAGCTCATTACAATGGTGAGTTTTCATTGAAAGTAAAAACCACTGTCATTTGGGTGCCATTGTCCTCTGAGGGCTTTGGAGAAGCATGCAGCTTACACTATTTCTACTGAATTACTGAAAATATCTTTCCTTCCACTAATTCCCCTATTTGTAATATTTTTTATGTATAAAAAGCTAAGTAGAATCTCACCCATGCATCCAAGATGTCCACTTCCTAATTGCTGGACCCTGTGAATGTTAACCTATGTGCAAAAGGGACTTTGTAGACACAATTAGGTTAAGGGTCTGTGGGTTAACCTGATACAGTCATAGAGTTCTTACAAGAAGGAGGCAGTCAGTCAGAGAGAGGAGGCGATCAGATGATAGAGGCAGAGACTGGAGCCTTGCTAATAGAAATGAAGAAATGACAATGACCTTGAGAAAATGAAAGAGGCAGGGAATGGGCTTTCCGCTAGAGACTCCAGGATAAATCAGTCTTTTGGCATCTTGACTTTAGTTCAGTGAACTGATTTTGGACTTCTGGCCTCCAACATTCAAGAGAATACATTTCTGCTGTGTTAATCCACCATGTTTGTGGTAATTTGTTACAGTCGCCACAGAAAACTAATACATTATGTCAAAGAACATAGGTACCTCTATTAGATAGTCTTTGTGTAGAGTTTGGGCTCTGTATCCAAGGCAAGTTTAAGAGAGGGGGAATAAGCTTTTTAGCCATCAGATAATTCAGAGAAATTCCTTTGCCTTCTGACGAATAAGTAACAAAATCCCTTTGTCTAATGAGGCAGCAGATTCCTTGTAACTCATTAAAAAAGAGTTATGGAACTCTTTCCCAATTTCTTCCAAAGGTTAAAAATTCTTTAGGGTAAACACAGAAGATCAAAGAAAGCTAAATTTTCCAGTAAATGGCCCTTAAAGAAAATAATTGAGGTCACCTTCTACCCTTTTAAGTCATGAAAGAATTTTTGTCTTCCTTTTTTGCCACCATGTTTATATTTGTGTTCTAATTCCACTTGCCCCAATGCTATTAAATGATGCAACAGTGACCCCATGATTTTAAAAAAAAAAGCAAGATGTATGCAAACCCATACTTATGCAGCAACTCAATTGTAACTACTGAGTTCAAATGATTCCTAAATTGAGCAGTGGTAACCTAAAATGGTGGACCTGGTGGCTGCACTTACCCCGTTGGCTTCAGAGATCATTAAGTGTTTCAGCAGCTGAAGGGTAGATGAGCAAAATTAAAACTTTAGGAAATAGGAGTAAATGAAGACAGAACACTTTTTAAATGATGACACAAGTGAGTGGCAAGATAGAAACACGAGTCTGATTTGTGCTTACTTTTTCAGGAAAACATTGTAAGAATATAATGAGATGCCGGTGACTAAGAGTTAAATATTTTGAGATGAAGCTGTCAAGACTGTGACTTCATGAGTTATGAATCACCCTCTTACTAAGTACTATAGAAACATATTTACTAGTGTGTAACCTTGGAAAACGGTTCTCTCTCGATACCTCAGGACCTTCTTACATAAAACCAGAGCTAACAGCACTTGCTCTGCAGAACTGTTGTGAGGATAGAATGAGAGAAAAAATGTGAAAATATTTAAGACAGTGCCTGGCACACAGAAGATGCAAATCAAATTTACTTTGCCTTCTAATTTTCTATAGCTTTAGTTTAAAAAAATTCCAGTCACCCATTAGACTAAAGAAAAATATCATTGTTAATTTATGTTGATGTTGCAAATAGATGCTCTTCAATGATCTTGTCATTTTGAAAAGGTAATGTCATAAGTGGACAGTTCTATCCCGTGTAGTTAAGAGAAATGCTTTGCTTCACAATAGATCATTAATGACTCCCTCTTATTTAACCCATATTATTCTGTGCCATGGTCATGAATTAATTCCTGGACTGCTGCATATGCAGGTGTTAGGAATAAAGGCTCAATACTCAGATTTCATGGGTTCTAATCCTATTTCTGATGCTCACTTAAAATATCAATTAATTACCCAACCTTTCCCTAACTGACTGTCCACACTTTCAAAATGGAGTTAGCAAGGATAGTATTTTCTTCATAGATGGCTATGAGGATTAAATGAGTTAGTCAAGCAAAGGTTACAGAATACAGTTCATATGAAGTTGATGTTAGCTTTTATCATTATCATCAGCCTATAATCTCCTTTAGCATTATTATTAAATATTGGCACTTTCATTATTATTATTATTAGATCTCTTCTAAAACCTATTGTGTTTTGTAAGAGTCCATCTATATAAGGATTTGTAAGGGTTACCATCTATATAAATTATATATTGAACACACACACATATAATACAATTTCGAGAAGTTGAAGACATTTCCTCACATCTACATAAGAAAGAAGACCTCCAGAGAGGACATAAGTGTACATGCCATTAAAATTAATCAGTATCCCAGAGAGAAGGGTGGGAGTGTAGCTGAAGCAGAGAAGAAATAGTTTTGTTTCCAGTTTAGGCTTGGCAGTTCTAGAGTTGAAGATCACAGTTGCCAAGTTAGCAACAACTTTGAAGCTTCCAGATTGGTCATTTCCTAAATGAAAAAGTCTATAGATAATATGGAGAATGTAGGAAAGTCTTTGGAATCCTACCTAACTAGGTCTTTGGGAAAGTTGCTTGCCCCATTTGACTTTTTTATGTGTAAAACTGAGGAAAACAATGTTTTGATAGTTGTGTTCATAGGAGATTACTGACTCTGCAGTGGTATGGTGGCATATTGGAAGTATCAGTACAGTAGGTAGAAGTTTCTTGTAAGACGAGCAAGTTCTCACTGATCACATGGAATAACTAAATTAATTAGTTACATACATATATAAATAGGGAAAGAATTTCAAAGTAATAATGCTCTCTACGTAAAAATCCATGAGGAGGTGGTGGAAGGACTTAGTAAGTTTAATTCAAGAGGAGAAAATAAAGTGCTCTCCATTGTTCTGAATTAAGATTTATGCAATACTTTGGTGGTAAATCCCAGAAGGTAAAGTGAACACTGTAACTTGCTCTGTCCATGATGTATTAAAGGACATATATAGAGCTGGTGGGTGATTCACTATCTTACCCCTGTCTCTACTGTTGATATTTACTATAGTGAAGGACACTCACTCCTAGATCCCAGAATGAGAATGATTTTGGATATGGAACAGTGAATGTGTTGATGAGTGATAAATAAACCACTGCAATTTTAAGCTTCTGGAAGTTTGAAATCCTTAATTACTGTGATAAAACAGTCTGTCCTGACTAAAGAAACTTCATGACCTCAAAAGGATCTATCTTCCTGGCTTTTTTCAGACACTCTTTTTTTTCTTTAAATATATTTGGTTTAGTGAAACTAAAGGGCTTTAAATTCATGAAGGATAATAAAGAATTTAAAAATACTGTTTCCTGAATTATTTCAAGCATGTTTATTTAGAGATAGCCATGAAAACTTTTTTTTTTTTACATAAGAACTAGTTAATGAATAGAAATCAAGAAGCCTGGTAACAAGAATGTTCTAGTGAATAAACTATTAAAATCACTTAGAATTTGATCAAATAAGAGTATGGGTTAAAACAGTAGCTGAACTAAAAGCACAAAGAGCCATCAGTCTAAGAACAATCTATCAACCTAAAAATGATATGTCTTTGCAAAGCTCTCTAGCAAGATGCTAGAATGACAATTCAGCATGATCTTCTAATAAATGGAGATTGTGAAGTCCGAAAGGAAGAACAAGCTGGTTGGGAACTGTTCTGTATGTAGTGAACAGGTTGAAATCTCTTAGACACGTGGTCCAGGGGTCTGAAGCTGCTGGACACATAACCAAAAGGTTGACAGCCATAGGAGAGACATCTCACAGGGTGGCAGGGGCTGGACACAAAATTCAGTGGTCGATACCCACAGGGGATGAGGTTCTGTGGCTAATAGCCATAGGAGAGGTGGTTCTGGGGTCGGGGATGACTAGACAAACAGTTCTGAGGTCTATTATGCATTGACGGTTGACAGAAACTGGAGAGATAAGAGCCGATGGGAAACAAACCAGTTTTTCTGCAGGGCCTGGAGGCACAGTGCATAGTGGAGGGGTAGCTGTCTGTGGGCACACAGCTGGATGGCAGGTAGCTGGAAGGTTGACCGCATGTCTCTGAGAAGTTGTCCAGAAGCCACTTTCTGTTTTGGCTGGGCAAGCAGAGAGCAGTACCGCAGTTCATGCCAGCAGTGTAGACAATAGTGGATGAGGGAACAGGAACATAACAGTGACTCCCACGAGAGGGGAAACCACAGTTTCCAGAAGAGCAAATGTTGGAGAGCATGGTAAGTCTGAAGTACAGATTTCAGATAAGCAGCGAAGAGCACCTTGTCTAAGTCGGTTTGCTTATATACCTTAGTGGTACATGCCCAGACTCTCCTCCTACCCATATTTTAGATCAGTTAGCATCATAACAACTCATTACTTCATTGTTGTGCTGCCTGTGAAGATGACTGCCCACTTCTCCATAAAATAAGCCCAGTTTGCATGTCTTATGTGTCTACCATCCTAATTTTCCCCCTGTTATCAGGCTTGAGAATGTTTGATATAATCACCTGTGTACTTGACCTGTTTTGCTTCGGTTCCCACCCCTCAATAATGCTTGATTAAAAGGAGTCCATTGGAATGGGTGTTTACCCCAGTCATTACCCATAAGAAAAAACATAGAAAGGCATATAGTTTCCATCTTTGAAGAAGAGACCTAATGTTGCAGTACTTGGAGGAAATATGTAATGTGGTGAAATAGACCCTACATATCAAAATTTATTGGATTGTCCAGATGAAAAAATCTCATGCTATTCCCTATTTTTAATACTCAGCTGAGGACCTAATTATGTGGTATTTTCTCTGTGTATTTGTCCTGATAGCCAATTTTAGGTAGGCATCTTAGAGTACATTTTGAAGAGCTCCACCCTAACAACTTGATATTCTTCATATTTTAAAGTTGGGTTTGATTTCCAAAACCTTGAAGGAGTGTGTGTAATATTTCTGCATGGTAACACCAATGACATGCTTGCTTTTGCTAGTAAAAATGTCATTCAAGTCTGTGGGTGGCATTTAACGAAGAAGATAAACATTATATCCAAAGTCAGTCAGCTTGTGTGCTTACACTCCAGAATTAATGCACATCTTCACCTGAGAAAATTTACTAAGACACCTCAGTCTTCATACATTTAAAGCGAATAAGGGTTAAGAAATACTTTAATGTCACACAAAGAAAAATCTTTGAATAGTTCTTACTTGGACACCACGTAAGAAACAATCTCCGGGCCTCATTTTGGACTATTCCCCCAAAATGTGACTTAATTCCTATAGATATCTATTTCCTTGGGTTGGTAGTCATCCAGAACCAGAAATATCTTTCAAGCTGCTACTCAGGAGGTCAAAGATGATGTAGCTGGGAATAAGTGGAGAAAGGTCAAGATTCCAAGCAGTAACTCGATGAGCTCTGGTGGATATTTTCCTATCACACTATAGTCCCAGTGCCTTTGAGGAACATGACCGTACACAGGCCTGGTGACATCAGTAGCCATGAAGTTACTCCCACCCTGCACAATCCTTTTTTTTCCAGCAATGCCCACTGTCCCTGTACTCTCTATTGAAGAGTCTGGAGGACTGATGATTTTTTTTCCCCTGAGGGAATATATTTTAAAATGCATATAGAGCTTTCCAAGTAAAAGTAAAGATACTTCATGTCCATGCAACCATGTGTGGGATGATCACCTTTGTGATGTATATATTTTCTAAATATTTTATTTTATTTTTTAAAAACATCACAGGAAGCAAGACATTTGGTGCTGATTGCACGTTCAGATCTCTCTCCTGAATTCCAACTTTTTTTTGGTTTCAGGTGGTGGAAGAAGAAATATTTGACATCTTATGCGATCCAAGTCAGTATACCACATTCTTCCTCAAAGAAAGCCTCAGATGACTTCCCATCAGCATGAGGCCTGTTCCTGGTAGAAACAACAGAGGATATTGAAGTCATCAAGAATTGAGAGTCTGAGAAGTCTATTTGATAAATTTCTTATCTCTTCTACGAGCTTTAAACCCTTACAGATAAATGAAATCTCTTAAACTCTTATTTGCTTCCAGAAAAGATTTCTCCTCTCACCCTGATACCTCCCAACCAATGAAGCTTGTGTGTGTGTGTGTGTGTCACACCTAAGGTCCTCATGATTTCATTCAAGATTCTCTTTACTCCTTTTATTCCTTGCCAAGTTCAAAAACAAGTATTAATCCACTAGTCTATTAAATCTCTTTCTCAGCGTATAGGCATGCTGCACATGAATGTCAAAAAGGTAACTAAAATTTTTCTTTTTAGTCCATAGTAAAAATAGATTTGGTCTTCATTTTGCTTTCTTTTTCCTTCCTCTATAGAACTTTATTTGCAAATTATTTAATGCACTTATGATATTGAATCTATTTGCTTAAAGCCTCTCTATCCTGTAAAACTTTGACTTGCATGGGGTCAGGGTCAGAGAATATGTCATTTTTTTAATTAATATTTATTTATTTATTGAGAGAGAGAGAGAGAGAGAGACAAAGTGTGCACAGGAGGGGCAGAAAGAAGGAGACAGAGCCATGCAGGCTCTACACTGTCATACACTGTCAGTGCAGAGTCTGACATGGGGCTTGATCTCACAAACCACGAGATCACGACCTGAGGAGAAACAAGAGTTGCACACTTAACTGACTGTGCCATCCAGGAACCTTGAAACTATGTCTTATTTTTATCAACATCACCAGTTGCCAGTGTCTTGAGCATGGTAGATGATCAATAAACACTTTTGATTGCTGAATAAATTATTTATTTTTTATACTAAGATTTGTTTTTAATACCAGATGCTCATTTGACATCTTGCCTTTGATAGCTTTTCTTTGGTAACCAAATTTAGAATCCACGGTGGAGTTCTTGATTTCATTCCTCAAGATTTCCTCTCATACTTCCCCATCTTAGTAACTGAAAAATTATCTACCTGGTTTCTTAACCCAAATATCACCATATCAACCTTGATTCTATCCTTTCCCTTACCAATTACCAACAATAAGCAAGTGCCGAGTTTCTTTCTTCTAAGTATATCTCAGCTCTGTCTCCTTCTATCCACTTATGCTTCCTCATTTCAGTTTCTCCACGCTGTCATTAAGCTTGCAGCCACACAACTTCTTTACCTGCTTCCAGTCTTTATCTTCTAACTTGTTCCTTACACACGCTCAGAGTGATATTTACTTACTTATTCTCTAATACCCTATCTTTCTTTATGTAGATCTAAATATCTGATGTAGCTCTGCAATATCATCATCCCTGGTGATAAATGTCCTCAATTTTGCTTCTAACAATGTCTCTATTTCTCCTTCATTTTGAGATATAATCTTGCTATATCCAGAATTCTAGGTTGGTGCATTTTTTATTTCAGTACTTTAAATATTTCATTCCACCTTTTCCTTTTTTAAAGTTTATTTATTTTGGGAGAGAAATAGAGCATGAACAAGTGAGGAGCAGAGAGAGAGGAAAGGAGAGGACTTCAAGCAGGCTCCATGCAATTAGCACAGAGCCCAATGAGAGGCTTCATCTCACAAACCATGAGATCATGACCTGAGCAGAAGTCAAGAGTTGCACACTTAACCAACTGAGCCACCCAGGAGCCTCTACTCCACCTTATTTTTCCTTCCTTGTATGGTATCTGAAAAGAAGTCTGATGTAATTCTCATTCTTGCTCCTCTATAAGTAAGGTGTTTTTCTTTCCTTCAGCCTCTTTTAAGATTTTCTCTTTTCTTTGATTTTGGCAGGTTGACTACCATATGCCTAAGTTGTAGATATTTTGGCATTTATCTGGATTATGTTCTCTGAGTTTCCTTAATCTGTGCTTTCATGTTTATCATTAATTTGAGGGAATTCTCAGTCATTCTTCCCTGACATATATCTTCTATTCCTCTCTCTCTTTCTGTTCCTGTATTCTCCTAACATGTATGTTACACTTTTTATAAGTGCTCCACAACAACTTTCAAGCTCGTTATATGCCAGACTAGAAATTGGAAGTTCGAAATATATTTAGAACCAGTGTCATTCTCTTATTTAACATTTAAACGATCTTTCTATGTCCAAGAATAAAATGAAAGATGTGCATTCCAGGACTTTCTCTGCCTCCACAAGCTCATTTCATTCTCCTCTCCTCTTGTTCTTCAATACGCTAGCCTCACCAATCTCCTCTCCCTTTCTTACCAAGCTTACAAAGCTCTTTTGACCACTTGTCCTGGCACATGTCGTTTCCTATTCCTAAACTGTGCTTCCCTTTGCTCTTTGTACAGCTGCTTTCTTTTCACGTTCTAGGTCTTAGGATTTCACTACTCAGAGAGGACCCCATAGCCCACCCAATATCATTTGCAACTCCTCTCTCCAACTTTTATGTTCTCTATGACTGAACTTAAGTAATTTCTTTCATAATAACTATTATAAGTTCTAATTATACATTCAATTAATTATCTATAAGTTTTCTGATCATCAACTTTACTAGATGTCAAAGTCCATGAGAACAGGAATCAGTCTTACTTGTTCACTCTATATTACAATAAATAGAATAGTGCACATCACATAGTTGTTATCTAATAGATATGTTTTGAATATAGCAATAAATGGAAAAAGTCATCTCTTTTTTTAAGAAATCTGTAAGTTACTCATAGAACTGAAAAAATTTTAGTAATTGATTCAGATACTGTAAGTATGGACATAGCAAAGTGGTCTGAATGTTCTGGGGGATGACTGTAACATTCTAAGACAGAGGCTTCCAGTAAATTGAAAGGTATTTCACAGTTGAAATGTGCTTTATATATTTATTAGCTAATCACATTTTCCCATACCAGCTTATATTTTGTAAATAGGAACAGAAAGAATCATTTCAAAATGGATAGATGATAGAATTAGTGACATATTTCCTATGTTTACAAAGCATATTTATCATTCCTATAGACACAGCCATTCAGTTATATTGAATTTCAATTCCCAGTACTTTTGCTACTTGATTTTGTCTTCTTTTTTTTTTCCTCTCTTTGGGAACCAGCAACAAAATCAAAATTCAATGATATATCAAACCATCAACAGAGTAATGTTAGTGTTCAGTTACATATAAAAGGAAAAATAATGTTGTTTTGAATTCAAATTTGGACTCTCTCACTTATTAGTAATGAGATCTTAGGCTAGAAGTTTACTCTTACTGAGCCTATTTCTTCATCAGTAAGGCAGAGGTAAGACTTCTCGATTTGTGACAAAGATTAAGGTTAATATTT